TGTTCGTAATCTCGTAACTAAGCTTTGTGTTGCGACATTCCTCTGTAACATTTTATGCACATATCAAAATGTGAGTGTTAGATTTTTTCCGAAGTTAGAGTTTTTTGAAAAATTGTGCGAACTGTTTAGGGCATTGTTGTGTAACATATTATAATTGGTTATGTGTGGTTGATTGTTGATTGTTGGCTTATTGTTTATTGTTCCCATACGGTTTAGTAGTTATTTTAGCGTAAATAGCAGTTACTTTTTGCGTTTCCATAGTGGTCCCATGCCCATAAAGTTGATTTTGTAGGCTTGCATTTGGAATGTCTGAGGAGAGATTTAATGTTGTGGTCCACCATGGTGGGACCCTGGTAAAGGATATACCTTTTGGATATGTTGGTGGGGAAGTCACTTATTGGAGTGTGGCCCCTGACAAATGGAGTTATTTCGAAGTGGTAGATTCCATTAAGGAGTTGTGGTATATTAAAGTGTCTGAGTTATTTTATTGCATTCAAGATATTCTGTATAAGTTGAATGATGAAAGAGATGCAATGAACATGATTCACACCGCCAAGTATTTAGTGGAAGTTCACTTGTTTGTGGTCCACGGTGTGGATGACGAGCCAAAGATTATTGTTCAAAGTCAATTAAATGAAGAAGTTCATTTGTTGTGTCTTGCAAGTTTAGAGAGTGAATGTAGCCATGTAGGTGGGAATGGGGATGAGAAAGTGGAGGTGTAGGGGGAGGATGATGAAGTTGCTATGCATGTGGAGGATGAAGAAGTGGTTGTGTAGGATGATGAAGTGGCTGTGCAGGTGGAGGATGAAGTGGTTCTGCAGATGGAGGATGAAGTGGTTGTGGAGGTGGAGGATGAAGTGAATGTGGAGGTGGAGGATGAACAAGTGGCTGTGCAGGTGAAGGATGAAGTTAACGTGCAGGGGGATGATGAAGTGAACATGCAGGGGAAGGATATTGTTAAACAGAACGTTAGGGTGGAGGAGGAGGAAGTTGCTATTGAACAACACGAGCAGGCGGAGGAAGAAGTTGTGATTGAAGAATTTAGTTCAAGTGAGGATGATGATGTAGGAGTGGTGCATAGTGAAGTTCCTCATGGAGTAGTTGATGAAGAAGAAGTGGATGGGGAACAAATGAATGAAGGACTAGTTGATGTTGATGTTAATATTGATGAAGGACTAGTACATAACAACATAGAAGGCTCTGTCTCAGTAGAAGTTAGTGAAAATGAAATGAACTATGATTTAGACACACATGACAGTGCACATAAGCAGAGAAACTCAAATGACAAGGAGTTGTCTGATGATGAGTGGGACTCAGAATTATTAGACAGTCAACAAGAAAGTGGAAGTGAGGATGGAGTTGATTAAAGACAAAGTTGTGATCCATTTGGGACCTATGTTAAGCAAAAAAAATATATCAGAATACAAGTGGGAAGTGGGAACAAAGTTTAGTGATAAAAATGAGTTTATGGAGGCTGTTAGAAGTTATGCCGTCCATGCGAGGAGGAATTTGAAGTTTGTTAAGAATGACAATGGAAGGGTATGAGTGAGATGCTTGGGTGCACAAAAAAAATGTCCATGGATGACTTATTGTGGATATTTAGAAGGATGTAGAACATGTCAATTGAGAAAAATATTGGATACCCATACTTGCAGTAGGCAATTCAATATCAAAATGATGAATGCTAAGTGGTTGAGTGAGACATTGGATACCACAGTACTTGAAAATCCGAATTTGAAGGTAAATAAAATACGGTAAAAAGCTTCGAGGAAATGGAATACAAATGTCACTTGTAATGTTGCACTTGGCATAGTATCTGTTTTGAAAGACTTTGATAATTAAAAGCTGATGTCCTTTGTAATGTTTTGAAATACTTTATAATGTTTCACATATTTGGCACTGGATCTGTTATGATGTGCTCTTATGTAACTTGATGGTGTAATCATGAACTGACTTTTGATTGTGAAAATATATTGATGTACCCATGAACTTAATGTTTTCACGTACCCCTATTTTGATATTCATTTTTATCACTTCCATTTTATGCACACATCACTCATCATCATGAGGACCACATTCGTACATATTTAACTGAAATAAGGACTAATTTGAACAAATTATGTACTAAAAAACAATACATTCATTTAATACAAAACACAGTCGTCCAACCTTAACAATGGGACCACCTAACAACCTCAACCTTCAAAACACAAAAGTAAACCAGATTGGGACCACCTAAAAACACACAGAACACATCAACCTAAAAACACACTTTCAACACATCAACCTAAAAACACACACAACAAAGCTATGATCAGTACACTGAGAACACACACCACTACTACTAAGAATTGGATCCTTCTCTTCAAAGCTATCATTGTCTTCTCAATATCACAAATCTTCCTCCTTTGACTACCAATGATAACATCCCTTTCATCAACTTTTTCGTCATTGCACCACTTGAAATAGTTACAAGACATCACATTACCAGCTGCACTCTGTTATTCATCAAACTCATTGTTAATTACAAACACAAAGAAAATAGGCTTTAATTAAAAATGCTTTTATTCACATCCCCAAAAATTTCTCCCAGGATTCTTTGATGTTCTAACCATTTTTACTACTGTCAACTCACCACAATTGCAAATGAGGATCATTCCTACCCCCATTGAACCACCACCATGTGAGGAATTACAACTTTGGTGGCCGAAGCTATTGCAACAAGAAGAAGAAGATTGAGAACGAGACATTGCTCATCAACCACCAAGATTGGGAAAAAACCTTAACCCTAATTTCACTCTCCACCCTCGTCAAAATAGGGTTTCATTAAATAAATGACACTTCTTTAAGAATCCACCTCACTATGCTTGAAGGGAATCCACGTGGGCATGTTAAATGCTATCTCAACACTGTTTTGCACACCTGGACTGTTTGTCGTTAACGATTTAAATGACGTTTGCAAAAAGGATCAAATTGAACAAATTTTACATTCTTTAGGACCACACTGAATAAAAAAAATAAACAGGGACCAAAACGAACACACTTGACCAAAATAGGGACCATCACGAGTATTAAGCCTATTTTTAATTATAAAATTGATTAAGAATATTCGTATTAATTATAAATTTTATGAAGAAAATTAAGATATTAAATATTGAAGTTAGTTAGCTAAAACATAGAAGGCTTGGGATTTTTCATAATTTACATAAACAACAATAATGAACAATGTATTAAAGTTGTAAATGACAAGTTGAATCCCTCCATTTTCTTTTTTTCATAGTTTTTTGGATTGCTAGTAAATATTTTTTAATAAGATTAGAACTTATTTTATAAACTCAATGGAAAATTAAGATAAATATATGGAAATCTAACTATAAGGTTTAATATTTTTTTCTATATGTATGTAAATATATAAAAGTTATTCATGTCCACTCTCAACATTTACTCTAAATGATTGAATATTTTATTTTAAGTTTAAATAATAAAATTGTAAATATTAAAAATTAATTCAATATTTAAAAAAATCATAATTTGTACTCAGTCTTTATTATTCATCTTAGTTATTAAACTTAATGCTATTAGGGAAGTAATAACAAAGTTAAGGTAATTTATAAATCTAATCAGATAAACATGTACTCTTAATGCTCACACAACATCATTGGTATAATTGATTTTTCAGTTCAGTTAATTTTGATATATAAATTGTTTCTAAACTCTAACGCATATTAAAAACTTCTCCATAAATGAAGCTTTAGAATGCATACCAATAAAATATAAAGAGTATTATAACATGTTTACGTTTCACAGGAGTATTTGACAATAGAGTCAAAGTTCATAGTATGAACAAAATTAGTATCAGTTGAAAGAAAAACAAAACTGAAAAAATTAGAAAAAAAAAGTAAATTAAGAAAAGAGTAAAACAGAAAATAAAAAAGCAACAAATACCAGAGAAAAAGCATTGAATGAGGGTGACATGGTAAAGGGAGATTCTGGTGATAGAAAACAAAATAGGAAAGTAAAAGAAAACAGCAATATTAAGTATGCAGTGCAATATGCCAATTCTTATTTACAAAACAACAAAACTGGACAATAGCAGCTTCACACCCTTCTCTTCTTCCAATTAACCCCACCACCAGGACCCATGGTGGAATCCTCCGAATCACCGTCGAAGCGACGGCCGCCACATGCCGGTGATGACAGAATTAGTCAGCTTCCGGACGTGCTGCTTCTCCAAATCCTCTCTCTTCTTCCAACCAAACAGGCAGTGGTCACTGGCATTCTCGCGAAGCGGTGGCGGCCACTGTGGCCGGCCGTGTCGGTCCTCGACCTCGACGACGAGTCCTCTCCGGAGTCCCGCCTCGGTCCCGCGGGCTTCGCGGAGTTTGTGTACTCGGTGCTTCTACTGCACGACGCGCCGGCAATCCAGCGGTTCCGGCTCCGTTGTGCGAATCCGAACTCCTCCGCGCGCGACATCGCGACGTGGCTGTGTCATGTGGCGCGGCGGAGGGTGGAGAGCGTGGAGCTCTCGCTTTCGCTGTCGCGCTACGTGGCGCTCCCGCGGCGCCTCTTCAACTGCGACACTGTTTCAGCCATGAAGCTCAACGGCGTGTTCTTCAACGCGCTCGCCTCGTTCTCCGTGCGCTTGCCTCTGCTGAGGGCTTTGCACGTGGGGGATAGGGTTCTGTTCGGGTGCCACGATTACGTGGTGAAGCTTCTTGCTGGGTGCCCCGCGCTGGAGGACTTGGTGCTGGAATCCACTTACAACGATGCTTGCGGAGGTGTCGTTTGTGCCGAGGGCAATTTCGAGCTTAGTTTGAAACACTTGACGCGTGCGAAAATTGGGTTTTCGTGGAAGGAGAGGTGCCTGAAGTCCATGCTTCTCATTTTCCAAGCGCTTTCTCACGTTAGGTGCCTCTCGCTTTCTCCCTGTACAGTTGCGGTACGACGCTTCTCCACCCTACCCTTATTTAAGTACCATACATCATGTGTATATGGTTCAATTTGTTCCTTGAACTCAAGGTTCATACTGAGTTTAGTTGTTTCTTGCATAAGATAACAAGATGTTGCATGGAATTTGGTGTTTTTATGGGATGTGTTATGGAAATTACGAACGAGTTAACGGTACTCTTTTAAAACGGATATAGGTGGTGACTAGCGTTGTTGTTTCAATGTTTGTTGCCCGGTATTGCACTGATTTGGTACATTGTTTTGGGTGTGGTAGTGGAATGGGGGTTTTTGTGGTGGTTAATAGTGGAAATAAAAAGGACTTATGTTTCACAAGCAAAACAAATGAACTGGAAGGGAGAAAGATCCCAAGGAGGGGTATGTGTGTGCACGGACAATTGTTTTGGAGAGCGGCAGTGAACTACACCTCATCAATAGAAGGATGAGGATGTATGTAATACTAATTCGAGGGTTGGAAACGAGACAGAGCAAGGGCAAAGACGGGTTGAAGTGATGTAAAACAGTGTTACAGACCTATAGTTAGTTTCAATGAAGCAACTGTTTTCATGTGGCGCTCCTTCTAATTCTCAAATTAGTTTTAACCTAAGTCCCAAAATTGGTGCTGTTGGGGAAAAAGTTGGGTTTCAATATTAGTACAACAGGACATTTGGCTCCCTATACAATGGATAAACCCTGCTATTTAGGTGCTCCATATCTCAATAGTGAAGTCAATAAGAACCTTGGGATAACCACACCTCAAAAGGTAACTAATTTAGTTGTTGAGAGTCTGAAGTCTTATATACCTCTCACCAGAATCCCATACTTCTCATGTGTGACCCAAGTTCCGTGCATTACAATTGTGAATCCTAACTACAAACCAATCCTAGCAAAAGTTCTCTACCAATTGTGGAGCTGCTAATAGTTCCTTCACTTCTTTATGCTGCAACAGGGACCACTGTAGAAAAATATCAAACTTCATTATGTATTGGTTTTGTATGAGGCAGTTATTATAGAATAATTTGTTATTAGGTATGATGTGAAGGTTTCAGAGTAATCTAGTATTATGATTGTTATGTTTGCTCAACCTGTTAACTTGTTAAGCCAGTTAGAAATTGAGATTAATTCTTGTTGTGCTGCAAAATTCCTTATTTTATAAATACTATTCAACACTTATTCAATCAAGTGGAATACATTTCATTTAGAAAAGATATTACAGATTATTCTCTCTTTCAGTTTTCTCACACCAAATTCTATCATGGTATCTATTAAATGTATTTTCAATATGTGGGCATTGGCCCATCTTTATATAATATATTGTTCAATCTGTATATGGTATGTTTGTTTGTTGTGCTCAAACACACAAGGATTCATCCATACGAATATTCATCTTATATTCTTGCATGATATCTAGAGCCTAGTGAATCCTTGTTCTCTTGGTGGACCAATTGTCCATTGGTGCCAAATTTTTCCTAGAAATCATGTTCTGGCCTTCTCCCCTTGTTGTTACTCTCTGTTTAGCAATTTATGCAATTGTTGTTGCTGTCCACTGCTACATTTTTGAATGGTGACCTCACTGCCAGAGTCACCTTGCCCAGGTGACCAAAGAGTCGTAGTCACCAGAGCTTTGATGTGCTTGCATGTGCACCTAGAAGTTCATGCAACTTCTCTCTCTAAACACTGTCAGAAGTCACTAGTGGCGATGTGTCCAACCACCTTTTTGTTGGTTCTCACTAGTGCTGAACCTACCTTGACCACTCCTTTGATCCCGTACTGCATTGTTGGTTCCCCTCTCTTTGGGGGTGGCTTCTTCTCTTTCTCGTAGGTGTTTGATGTGAACCCCATTTGCACAAGGGTTGATTTAGGATCTTTAGAGTTAGAACTTTATAGGAAATTTGGAAAATTAGTGAGAAGGTGGATTGGACCATGGCTGAAATTCTAGGTTGGACAATATTTAAAATACGGTGTTATCTTGAGATGTAGAACTCCAATTGAAGTGATTCCAAAATGAGGTGAAAGTTCTCGTTTTGAACTTCAATTTAGGCTAAAAAACCACACAATTGGGGAGAGTAGATTGAGAGTAATGACCATGAGATAAGTCTGGGTAGAATTGAGTTTTCTGAATTCGGGTGAAGAAAGGACAAGAGGTGAATATGAAAGGTGGAAGGAAAGAATCACTCTTTCCAAGGGAGGCAACACAAAGGATGGGAAAGTCCTTTGATACAGCCAAAAGTTTTTGAATCATTCAAGAGGAGAATCACTCTCACTAAAATAAAAGAGATAAACTCTAATTTTTCTGAATAAAACTCAACTTGTTTCATTGATAAAAATGGTTTAGCCTATATAGAAGCTTTAGCCATCTGAATTACAAAGGATTCATTAATTGCAATTACATCCCACTTTAGCTAATGATCCACTTAAGCTAATAATGATCTCACTACGCAATGGCTGATTGTAACTGAAATTGTTGCAACCAAAAGTCACCCAAAAGCAAATAAACTCAGCCCACCACTTGCAAAGCTAGTTGTCCAATGACTTCTACCAATGCTAGATTTGAATTCTCAATCTTCAATTAATGTTAATGTCCCACACTCCATTGACAAGTTAGATGACAAGAATTATGAGACTTGGGGCCTCTGATATTAGGCCTAGCTTAATATTATGTTGATCATCTCACTTAGACAACAACCTGAAATGATGCATAAGATCGTCCTCAGTGATCCAAAGTTGATGTCCAAGTTTGTAGTGTTTTTAAGTCAACTATTTATCCTACCTTGAAGCAGATTTTCCCTAGGGTTTGAGGGCAAGTCCAATTACTATGCACCAATGATACTCAATACCTCTATGGTGTTTACTAGAATCTTGTGACTATCATCACCCCAGACGCCTTGATAGGCCCATGGCTAAATAATTGGAAAAGGTTTATGGTCTTCTATGCAACTTCAATGAATTATTGCTTCCTATTGCCACTCTTACCTAGGAAATCAAGCAATGCCAAACCATTATTTTGTTGATGGCCTTGTATGGGATTCCCGATCGGCATTCTTCAGTTTGTGATCAAATATTTAGGTCTCTGGTACTGCCTATGTTGAACTTTGTGTGGTTCACCTTGTTACGTGTGTCGTGCTAGTTATCACTTGACATACCTACTTCTAACCCCTTGGTGACTCCTCTGCCTGGGTATCTTAATGTGATGGATGCAATTGCTCTCCCAAACCAGTGAGAGGTCGTCCCTAGTGTTATAGTTATCAAAAACTTGGTGGCACCATTGACTGATGTTACGCCCTATGTGGTTGCCCTACTCAGTTGGCTACTTTTGCTTAGGTTGCCCCTATTCAACCGAATTCTGGTGCCCCTTCATCTAATAGTTTTGAACCTTTGGCCTCTTAAACGATTTCTTCCTAAAATGTTATGAGGAATGTTAGGCCTCTAATTCACTGCTTTTGTTGCACAAACAAACACCTCCTTTGTTGGTCTCATTCACTATGTCTCTCTTAGTTCTTCGGTCCTTAAGTTTGGTGCCACCAGGGAGTAAGTCTCTTATTTGTTAACAAGTCTCTTTCCACTTCTAGTCTTTCAACCTTTGTCACTATGGCCAATGGCCCTTGTGCCACCTCTTGTGATGTTGGTATTGTCCATCTTCTTCCTTTTCTCTCCCTTGACAATGTTCTCTATGTCCTTGGGTCTCTGTTTGATTTTTTATCCCTTAGTCGTCTCACTTGTTCTCTTGATTGTCTTATTTCTTTTAACAAGATTTTGTTTTCTTACAAGATCAAAGTTTGGAAAGGATGATCGACACTAGGTGTGAGACTCATGATTATGGCCTTTATCTCTACCACAAAAATCTGGTAATGTTGGCTTGGGGGTAGATTTCGGGTGTCTCATCCCTCCACATTTAGGCCATCCTATCCTTACCAAGATTTAACACCTTGTACAATGTTTGTGTAAGTTGTTTACTTTGTTGTGAGTGATCTCAATTAGGAAAATATAGTCGTAGTTTGTTTACTAAGACTATCCCCAAACAAGCTTCGTCTTCTTTTGCTTCAGTTCAATTAGATATTTGGGAACTGGATCGTGTTAGGTGTAGTGCAAGATTTCAATATTTTGTAATTTGTTGATGATGATTATTCTTGATGAATTTGATTGTTTTTTTTATGAAAAATCGTTGAGTTGTTTTTCATATTTCAACCCTTTTATAAAGAAGTTAAAAATCAATTTGGTCTTTCTAATTGTACTTTTTGATGTGATAATGCTCGTGAGTACCTTTTCCATCCCTTTCAGATTTTCTTGTCCTTCCATGGTATTTTTCATTTGACTTCATTGCTCTTATAAGTAGTAATTATCATGGCATATTACAGATAAAATAATACCTTTGTCATCATTTTTAGAAGAAGACCTTAACAAAACTCAGATACTTACTAGGAATTGAGTTAGCACAATCCTAACAATGGAATTGTAACTTACCGGTAGAAGTATGATTTGAATATTTTAGAGGAGACTAAGCTATTGAATTTCAAGCCCCTTGACACACCTATTGTTCCCAATGTTAACCTTCTACCAAGCCAAGGGTAGCCACATTCAAATCAATGGGAAATAGGAGACTAGTTGGAAATCTGAATTATCTTTGCGTTGCCATCTCTTTTTTAGTCAATGTGATAAGTCAGTCTCTCTTTTATTTCAACAATTGGCAAAATTCATTCCCTTCTCTCGATCCTCACCATATGATTCTCTGTAAATTTCAATCTCTGCCAGCCCAACAATTACCTTCTCTCACTACACTCTATTCTTGTCAAACTCCACTGGAAGAACATCTTATAGTCACTACAACAAGTTGACTCAGTCATTGGAGGGCATAAACTTCAACTTTCTAATTCGATTTTAGCTTGCATTGCTGGAATTTTTGGCTCCTATCCAGCTTGTTTGGAATGAAATTCATAGCCATTTTCATGTGCTCATGCATCAAAGTCCACTCAGTTCTACTTAAGAGATTCAAATGATTAAGAAATGAGCAAGTTTGTCTCAGAATTCCAGTGCACAGACCCCTGGTAGAACTCATTTTTTGCCATTGGGGGTCCAGTATACTATGTTGTTGCAATAATTTTGAGGCTATTTTGTTGGCCTTTCTTGACACTCTTAGTGACTAAAATGGAGTGACTTCTCCTTGCACTCGACCCAAGTTTTAAAAGGAACATGGTGCTCTTCAGGAACTGTTGTCTGTTAATATTGCACATTTTGATGTTCAACCTTCATCCTTAGTTCAGCTATGTTTTTACCATGCACCATCTCATTCTGGTGTTCAGCTGTTTGTGACTAACCAGTCTAGAAATTCCTATGGCCTTCCTCGGGTTGACCCTAATAATAGCAGTTAATTTTGAGGAGTGGTGGTGGTAGCTTGTAATGGAAGAGCTTGTAGCTGAGGTTGATGTCACTTTGGTGGTTGTAGCTCAATCCAATGTCTGATGTGCCACAAATCAGGTCATGGTGCCACTAAGTTTTCACTGAAGCACAATGTGGCTTTAACTTCTCTGAATATTCCTATGAGCTCAACACATGTGCTAATAGTATGTTTTCCCGCTCGCTCCTTTGCTACTCCCATGGCCTCATCAATTTATGCCTTGATCCTTCATTGGAAGCTGCCACATGAAATCAGATTCATCATTGTGCTGACACACGCTCCTATGGTTAACTCCATCCCTTGGGCTCTGGCTCTAACTACTGGTTTTGTGACATATTTCTCTTGGGCCTGGTACGTGAACTTGGGTCCCATGCACCATGTTACTTTAGATCCATGGAGCCTTCTTCTGAATACCTGAGTCACAGATTATATTGTGTTGAGAAAAGTTTGTCCTTTTTACTAGTTGGTTCCACATCATTCCAATCTTCCTACTATCCAACACATCACTCTCTAAAAAAATAACATTTGGTTCCTGAGATAACTAAAAGTTGTCATTGTCACAATTTGCTCAAGATAGTCATGTAATCCTTTGAGTTTCTCCCTTACTACATTGGTACCGGACTGGAATTAAGGAGGGCAATAAAATTCAAGATTGTGTCTTCCTTTCTTATTCTAGTATAAGTTCTATCAGTCTCCTTAACATTTTTTGCTATATAATGATACAGCTTCCCCTATTCGTTGTAGCTGTCAGTCTCTTGTCCTCACACTCACTACACCTGACATTACCAGCTCATTGTAAACACTGTACATGTACCATTTGCCATTGCAGATATCCTCATCACAAGCATTTGCGAAAAATCTTTCAACTGTGTAAAAGTTCATTACCAAATAAAAGTGTCTGATCTCTGTACATGTTGAGTATAAGATCTTTGCATTCCCTCTTTATCTACTACAACTTGTTACACTAATGTGCTGGAAGATATGGTCATTGATGTTTGGGGGCAATCCCGTAGTTGAATAATCAGTTATTCTTGTTAGTTATCGACCATTGTTGGTTCTCATTCAAGGTTCACATGGTTGTATCCTATAGAGCTACTAATCAGATGCACTTTTCCTAAAGTTTAAGTCTATGACAGATCTGCAAAATGGGAAATCTCTGAAGTCAGTTCAAATTGATCAGAGGCAAGTGGAGAGTGCAGACACTTCACCCATTGGCTTTCTTGGCTGGGTATCACCTGTAGACTTATCTCCATACCCATCACCAGAATGGTCAATTGAAACAGATTTCACATTTTTAATGCCTAACTAACATTATGTTTTAGGATTATGCTGTCCCAGCAGCCACCTTTCTTATCAAACAGAGTCTTGCAGCATCCTTGGGCAATCAAATTCCATTTAGAATGCTTACAACTCAGATTCCGGATTTCAATTCACCAGTGCTCGTTATCCTTTCTTGTTAACTTTTCAAGTCCTTCAAATTTGAACTCAGATGAAAGGGCCGCATATTTATTAGGTACTCCTTGGTTCATAAAGGCTAGAAGTACAAATGTCTTGAGCATGAAGGAAGGATTATTTTTTTTTTCCAAAAATGTTGTTAGTCGAGGAATTGTCTGTGATATTATTGCTGGCATAGAAATCTTCTTGCCTATAAGTATGTTTAATTTTTTCCAATTTATATTGTAGAAAAACGGAATGACGGGAAATCTTGAATCTGCCTACTAATCGTATTGATAGGGATTTCTACTATGGAGCGAAATCAGGACATAAGAATTAGAGTAATACTTGTTATTTGTTGTAAACGGTAAATCTTCAGGTAGAGAATTTTCTACTATTTTTTAAGCTGAATAAATTCATAAATGCATAAGTGATTTCAGTTAAATATTATTTTGTTATGGTATCAGTTCCTCCTTTTGGCATAAATGGGTTTTCAATTTCTTGGTTCTTGGCCATGCTATTTTCTGTGTTTTTAAGCTCCTGGACCTCTGTTCTTTATCCTTCGAGGCTCTTTTTTTGTCCTCTGTAAGGGTGATTAGATTTCTCATTATTTTCTATGGCAATTAATAATTTGTTGTTGATTTTAACTGGAAAAACTGTGCAGCCTGAGAGTTGTAGTTTAAGCTGTTTGTGAAAGGGAATGAATGTGGGTTCATGGGTGATATGAATTGGTGAGCGATCATTTTGGTGGTGTTCATATCGCAAAATTAATTCCATGAAGCAGATCTGACCTGAGTTGCAAGAATTATGATATGGAGAAGCATAGCACAATTCTTGTGTAGGATCTGTTTGGCCTCAAAAGGAGTTGCTAGACCCTGTCACTCCTCCAAAGGCCATCGTGCCTGGCTGGAGTGGTGCTTTCATGCCATACTACAGTTCTAAAATTTGTTCTGCTCTTGGTTGTGTAGGCATCTAGTGGGTCAGAAAAAAATAGATGATCCAAATCACAACCAGAACTGACCTAACCCTAAATTGCAACTTACAGTATTTTTGTTTGTTTTTAACTTTAGCATGTTAGGGTGATTAGGGGATTCAACTTGAAGCATTTGGTCTTGCTAGCTCAAATCAAATTCCCAGGAATTTGAGTGAAAGGAAGCACCACCTGAAATTAGATCTAGAAATGATAGGTATGAAAAGAATTTGGTGTATGAAAAGCTGGTTGCGTGCCATCCCTGAACTGATACATATCCAAGAGACCAACCCAACTCCCGTACATTTGATCAGATGAAAAATTCTAATATTCTAGGTTATGATTTTCAGCCTCTCAAATTGAAACAGTAATCCCTGTAGTTAAGGATAATCATGACCTCCCTATTGCCTTCAGAATTGCACCCAAAAGCCACTAGGTCATCAAATTATCTATCATTTCAAACAAATTCACCAACCCATATTTCCTTTATTGCAAACTGTTGGAAGTCACATATCGATTAGAGATAAGGTCAATTTATAGTATATATGTTACGTACCTGAGTACGTAAACTATCCAAATACAACCTTTCACACTCTCTCACACGTAATAGAACAATAAACGAATAACAATGGATGAATGAATCTCTAACTTTATTTATACTAATTATTTCCCGCCCATCTCTTATTAAATATTTCTCTAGAATATATTTAATATAAATATCCCTATATTTAATATTTAATATAAATATTCCTATATTTAATATTTAATATAAATATCCCTATATTTAATATTTAATATAAATATTCCTATATTTAATATTTAATTATAAATATCCCTATATTTAATATTTAATATAAATATCCCTATATTTAATATTTAATATAAATATCCCTATATTTAATATAAATATCTCTCCGTATATTATCCTAGCATATATCCTTAATTATAAATATCTTATATTGAATATTTCCCTAAATATATATTTATTTACTCTAATTAACTTATACTATATTTATTTACTCTAATTAACTTATACTATATTTATTTACTCTAATTAACTTATACTAAATATTCTCTCTGCTCATATACTTTTCAACCCTTATTATTACCCCTACCTTAGATCGTAACAATATAAGTGGGTGCAAACCTCACCTTAGAAGCTGGTTTTGTGGGGTTGAGTTAGGCTTAAAGTCCACTTCTTAACACAAACCTTGACACTACCCAATTTCCATTAATGCTTCTGGTTTTGTGGGGTTGAGTTAGGTTTAAAGTCCACTTCTTAACATAAACCTTGACACTACCCAATTTCCATTAATGTTTTTGAGCCATTGTCAAATAAAAATTGGAAGGAGGCCATGGATATAGAAATCAAGGTATTGGAGAAGAATAAATCATGTTTGTCAATTATCTGAAGAAAAGACTCTATTGGTTCTGAATGGATTTCCTCAGTAAAATATAAAGCAAATTGGTCAATTTAGAGGTACAAAGCAAGTCTAGTTGCTAAGGTTTTGCATAAACTAATGGGATCTATCGTAAACTTGTGAGTACTCCTATTGATTGAGCCATAACTTGGGTAGAGTAGATGATGGTGTAATGACAAATAATAAGATGTATTAACATTTGTTGGAAATTAGTTTGCCTAACACTAGATTGGATATTGCATTTGTAAGTTTGGTTAGTCAGTTAATGCATAACTTAAGAGGTGGCCATTTATACTAAAAGAAATTGCAGTATCTCAAGGGAAATCCTGGAAGAGTAATTTTATTTGAAAGGAACGGTAATGCAACTCTTAGGGCTTATACTGATGCTTATTATGTAGGGTCAGCCATTGACTTCAGAATCAGTACAAGGACTATACTTTCTTAAATGCAATCTTGTAATTTAGAGTGTTAAAAAGTTTAATATAGGGCTTGTTCTATTGTTTAAGATATGGCACAAGGTATTTGTGTATTTCTTGGCTTCAGATTATTTTTAAAGATTAAATGGGATGAATTTATGATTCTATTGTGATAATAAGTCAATAATTATCTTTTCTGAGATTCCAGTTCAACATATGGTAAAACTAATCACATTGAGGTGGTTTGACATTTTATCGAAGATTAACATCTAAATTGGGGATATACAATGCCCCCTATTCATCTGCTTGAGGTGGTAGTGTTGGAAATTGAATCATTAATATTCAATTAGAATATGTTCAATGTATATAGGATATGGGGTTATCTAATTTTTCCTGTAAATTGTATTGTATTTATTATTTATTAATAATGTAGTCCACATGCTTATAATTTGGAGCATACGGTTGGGTGAACTCTTGATAGGAATGACTTTTAGAGAGGCAGGGGTTAAAGAACTCAACTCACCAGCCTAGAACCAGTCCAAAATGAGTTTATAATAGGTTGGGGCGGATCATCCCGTAGGGCATTTTTGGTTAAAAAACCCAAAAAAGTAGAAAATATGTTCATTTTGTATAGATATATTAAATATTATATAAGATTCTATGTAAGTATTATGTGCTACAAGTTGTGAAGGTAATTATTGAATATAGTAAAACTAAGTATATGATTAATTTCCCTTGTATAGAAAATATACATAGGGTAATGTATTTATCATAATGAAAATGTGGACTAAGCTCAAGTTTAAATAAATATGTAAAAATAACATACTTATCTTTTTAATATTCCTATTAGATAGATAATATAATAATCTAATTGGAATATATAGTTATAGGATTTGATATAATTTGGATTGGTCAATCAATTGGAAGATTCCCTAAAAGAATGATATTTCTTAGAATTAGCTTTCACTAACATAGGGACTATGTTTTCCTAATTAACATAAAATGCAATATATCTACCAGTAATAAATGGGATTTTGAAGTAGCAATAACAAACAACATTGATGTTTATTTGTTTTGTTTAGAAGTTTTCTATTTCCATTGTCCCATTTTTTTTCTATTATTTTGGTGACCATGGCAGATTGACGATGGTGAAGTTGGTCCGTATTGTCATCTGTAAATCTCACTCGGGCAATTTAAGAAAAATTCTCATACTATTAAAAACGATGCCTTCTATTGTTTTCCGTGCTCTTGTTACTTCAGTTTAATTTTGATTTTAATTTTCTTACTGAATGTAATGATTCCCTGTGTAGGTTTCAGTTTTTTTAAACTTTTTTTATTTATTTTTTAATATTTTTTTCTCGTAACTTTTGTATGCAGTGTTTGAAGCACGCTTCTGCCATTGATATTCCGGTGTTTGACAAATTAACCCAGCTGGAAATTTCATTTGGAAGCTATTCATGGGATTTGTTAGCAAACTTGCTTCAACGTTCCCACAAGCTGGAAGTTCTTATCATCAACAAGGTTTGCTGAATTGAAAAGCGAATTCTATTTTATAATTTTAACTTCTAATTGAGAACATTCGGTGTTATTGCAGGAACCACAAAAATATGGGAAGGGACAAGAGTCAAGGTGGAGCCATCCACTCCTCGTTCCTGAATGCCTTTTACATCTCAAAACGTTTTGCCTCAGAGAATATCAAGGATTGGAAACCGAGCTGGATTTTGTAGGGTATATTATGCAAAATGCTAGAGTGTTAGAGACAATGACTATCTACTTATCAAGCTCCTTAAGTTCCGAGGAAAAACTCCAAATCCGCAGGCATTTGTCTATACTTCAAAGGAACTTTGAAACCTGTCAAATTGTATTCAATTGAATCATATTCTTGAAAGGTATGTTTTTGGTGGGCTTATGTTGGGAATCTTTGCTCAATTACTTTTCTCTTAGTTGCTTTCTGTTTTATTTCTTTGTTTAGGAGGTCCCTTATATATGTGTACATTTGTTGATGTGAATACATACATTCATTATTTTCTTACCATTTGGGTGCAATTGTGTGAGTGTGTGTTGTGAGACAGTTAGGTTTCACTTGAGATCTAAAACTGAGAAAAATAGTTCTGAAGGGCTTATTAGACCCTTCTCAATTCTCTTATTTATATAGATAAAACTGATACAATAGATGGATGGAAGATGAAGAGATTGTCCTAGACTGCTAGGAACAATCATTATAGATAACCCAACACACAACTACCTACTTTTAGGCCCTGCTCTACTAATCATAGGTAGACTTAATAATTATTCTAACACTCCCCCTCAAGCTGGAGCATACAAATTGTATGTACCAAGCTTGGAACAAATAAACTCAATCCGAGGTCCCCTTAACGACTTAGTCAACACATCTGCGAGTTGGTCATTTGATCCAACAAACTCAGTACAAATTTCTTTTGACAATAATTTTTCCCGAACAAAATGACAATCAATTTCTATATGTTTGGTTCTCTCGTGAAACACTGGATTTGATGCA